TACACATACATACACATACATACATACATACATACATACATACACATACATACATACATACACATACATACATACATACATACATACATACATACATAAAACAATATTTAAAATACAACAAAAAAGCCTTTTTTTATTTTTGTGAAAGGTTTTGGAAGCATGTGATTGTATGTATGTTTGTATGTGTGCATGTATGTGTTTTGTGAATTTTTGTCTGTATTTCTGTTTGTATGTGCGTTTGTATGTATGTTTGTAGTATGTATGTATGTATGTATGTTTGTAGTATGTTTGTATGTTTGTATGTATGTATGCATGTGTTTGTTTGTTCCATCATTATGTATATATACAAACGTGATTTAATCTCATTGTGATATATATTTACTCATATTGCTTTTCTATTTGATTCACTCATTCACTCGTTCATCCATCCATTCAGTTATTCGTTTATTCATTCATCCAATCCCTCCTTCCTTCCTTCATTCGTTCATTCATTCATTCATTCATTTATACATTTGTTTTTTGTTCGATTTATTCATTCATTTAATCATTCATCCAACCATCCATCCAGCCATTCATTCATCCATTCATTCATCCATTCGTTTTTTGTTGGTTCGTCCATCCATCTTTTTTTCTTCCCTCCTTTCGTCCCATCTTCTACGTCGAACCAGCGTCGTCATCGTCCTGCCAACAACAACAACAACAATAATAATTATAATAATAATAACAATAATAATAGTAATAATAATAAAACCATCATCATCATAATAACCGAAAGCGTGACGAAGCAAAAAATGATGATGAAGACGACAACGAAGACGATGATGATGATTATCGTCACCTTCATCATCACCATTATCATTATCATTATCATCATCATCATCATCATCATCATCATCATCATCATCATCATCATAGATCTATCACAATCACCATACAAGCTATTGAAATCATTGCAGTAGTGGAACAACTGAAAAATAAATAATAAATAATAATAAATAATAATAATAATAAATAATAATAATAAATAATATTATTAAATGATAATAATATTATTAATAATAATAAAAGTGAGTGAGCCATAATAAAGCAGATGTTATTGTTGTCAGCAAAGAAATAAAATCGTGATGAAGATTGTTATAAGCGGTGCATAGAAAGGTAATTGAATATGTGAATCAACGAACGAATGAATGAATGAATGAATAAATAATTGAATGAATAAATGAATGAATGAACAAGGGACGAATGAATGAATAAACGAACGAATGAATGAACAAGAAATGAATTAATGGATGAATAAATGAATGAACGAACGACTGTATGAATAAATGAATGAATGAACGAATGAATGAATACGTAACTAAATGAGAAATTGAATGAACGAAGACAAACAGCTTAATTACTTGAAACAGTGATTCTAAAACCATAACCACCATCACCATAATTAAAACAGCAATAAAATTAATTATACTTAAATTATATTATGATCATCGTAATTAAATTATATTATGATCATCGTAATTAAATTATATTATGATCATCGCTAACGATAATAAAACCCTTTTGCTTATAAAAATGAAACTAGAAAATACAAAACAAAAGATACTAGATAAAGCTCAGGAAATAATATTTACAATAATAATAATAATAATAATAATAATAATAATAATAATAATAATAATAATAGCGCAATAACACCAGCAATAGATGAAGCCCCAAATCATGAATATTAATCGTCATTAAGTTATGAAAAATAAGTAGGCCATGAATTTCAATTAGAAAAATAAGCTCCGCCTACCTTATATATATTAATATATATATATATATAAACTTGTACTTACGTTAAGCATTTCGTTATGGTACACAAAATATGTACCAAAGTCTACTTTTTGCATTATCTTGATTGGTTGGTTGGTTGGTTGGTTGATTATTGATTGGTTGGTTGGTTGGTTTGTTGGTTGATTATTGATTGGTTGGTTGATTTGTTGGTTGATTATTGATTGGTTGGTTGGTTTGTTGGTTAATTATTGATTGGTTTGTTGGTTGGTTTGTTGGTTGGTTTGTTGGTTAATTATTGATTGGTTGGTTGGTAGATTTGTTGGTTGATTATTGATTGGTTGGTTGGATGGTTGGTTGATTGATTGATTAACTGATTGATTGATTGATTGATTGATTGATTGATTGATTGATTGACTGATTGTCGAATAAAATGAATACTCGTTTGCGGAATGAACCAAACATTTATCTTCCAATTCATCTTTCAACCAACTAACCAGCCAACCATTCAACCAATGAATCAATCAATCAATCACTCAATCAATCAACCGATCAATCAATTAACCAACCAATCAATCACTCAACCAATCAACCAATCAACTAACCACGTCTCTGTGTGTGGCGTAGTGTAAGAGGCTGGACGCCGACGACGACCTCAAGTGGCCTCGCGTCTGAAGTAACTTCATCCTACTCTGCGTCTGTCACATGGTGATAATAAAAGTAGCAGTAGTAGAAGCAGTAGTAGTAGCAGTAGTAGTAGTAGTAGCTGCAGTAGTAGTAGCAGCAATAGTAGTAGTAGCGGTAGCAGCAGTAGTAGTAGCAGTAGAAGTAGTAGCAGTAGTAGTAGTAGCAGTAGTAGTAGTAGTAGCAGTAGTAGTAGTAGCAGTAGTTGTAGTAGCAGTAGTAGTAGTAGTAGCAGCAGCAGCAGCAACCGACCAAATCTCTGAGGACTTGTTGCAGTTTGCCCTTCTCTCTCGTCAGACGTTCCACCTCTTCGATGTTTTCAGTCTTTTTGTTCGGGGCCATCTCCAGAAGAGCGATGTGCGCGTCTTTCTCGCTAATGGCGGCCAATATGGCTTCCTGCCTGATTGGCGATTAGGAAAAAATTATAATAAAAAAGAGCAAACAAAGCAAAATTCTTTGACGCGAACTTTAAATGCGCGCAACTTTCTAGGTGCAACTTTCTTTTAAGATTTTTAACAAATTTAAAAAAATTCATGACAGAAATTGAGCTACGGCATCACGAGATTTCACACACGCTGCTTTTAGACTCTACCTTGATATCATAAACTTTGACACCTTTCTACTACCCTTAAGTTTTACATTTTCAAAAGACAGATACGTGTGATGAAGCATGGAAGATGGTCCAGTGTCTCATTACATTAGGACTAAGATATTGTTTGCTGGGTTCGCCGAGATGATTCTATCATCATCACACCATCACCATCATCATATTGCAACCATCATCATCATATCATCATCATCATCATCATCACCACATAATCATCATCATCATCATCATCATCATCAGATCATCATCACCATCATATCATCATCATCATCATCATCATCGTCACCACATCATCATCATCATCATCGTCTTCCTTCTCACTTCATCTCGTAGACCTCAGAGAGTTGTTTCTTGGAGTCGCTAAGGTGCTCAGTCAGCAGTGCCTCCTTCTCCTTCAGAAGGGCCTCACACCTGGACAGCTGCTCGCGACATCCCTCGTACTGACCTCTCGCCCTCTCCAGCTCTTCTTGTAACGACTCCATCTTCATTTGGGGTGTGGAAGAAATTTGGGATGCTTACGGTACAAAATTTTTTGGATATAAAACGGTTGGGGTATACAGAATATAAAACATTTGGGATATTTGGGTATGAAATGGTTGGGATATTCAAGATATTAAACATTTGGGATATTTGGGATATAAAAAATTTGGGATTTAAACTATTTGGGATATTCGAGATATAAACTATTTGGGATATGAATCTTTTGAAATATTTCAAGATATAAAATATTTGGGATATTTGAGATACAAACTACTTGGGATATAACGTATTTGAGATATCTTGGATGTAAAAACTCCATTTAAGAATATAGTAAGGTCATCCATCCATTCATCCATCCATTCATTCATCCATTCATTCATTCATTCATCCATCCATCCATCCATCCATTCATCCATCCATTCATCCATCCATCCATCCATCCATTCATCCATCCATCCATCCATCAACCAACCAACCAATCTTTCGGTGTGCTCCAGCTTCATCTGCTGCTCGGCCATCACTATCTCTCTCTGGGCAGTTATCTTGATACTCTCTCTCATCGCACTTTCCAGTTCTTCTATCCTGCTGTCTTTCTCTGTCAGGATGGACTGAATAAATGCATGAAAATGAATGAGTGAGTGAATGAGTGAATGAATGAATGAATGAATGAATGAATGAATGAATGTAAATTTAGAGAATGAACAATAAAGAACGTTTAGAATATAAAGAGAACAATCAATCAATCGATCAATCAATCAGTCAATCAATCAACCTTAAAAACTGTGACGTCATCAACTTCGTCATCACCATTATCATCTCGTCTCGGTCCTTTAGTGGAAATACCGGCCAGATCTTGTTCCAGTTTCGAAATTTTGGCTTTCTTTTCCATCAGCTCATCCCGCTTTTCACTTAGTTCCACTTTTAACCTTCTCACTTCCTGTTTACATTCGTCGACCTCGATGAGGTGTTGCTGGGCGGTTGACTCGATGCTCGATTGACTTTTTGCGAGGTCCTCAGACGCCTGTTGGTCGGTTGGATGGATGGATGGATGGATGGTTGGTTGGATGGTTGGTTGTTGGATGGTTGGTTGGTTGGATGGTTGGTTGGTTGTCGGTTGGCGGATGGATGGATGGTTAGTTGGTTGGTCGGTTGGTTGGAAGGTTAATTTTTTGGTTGGTTGGTTGGTTGGTTGGATGGTTGGTTGTCGGTTGGTTGGTTAGATGGTTGGATGAATGGTTGGTTTTTGGATGATTGTTAGTTGTTGGATGGTTGGTTGGTTGGTTGTCGGTTGGTTGGATGGTTTGTTGTATGATTGTTAGTTGTTGAATGGTTGGTTGAATATTTAGATGGTTGGTGGTTAGTTGATTGGCTGGTTGGACCAACCAGCCAACCGACCAACCAACCAGCCAACCTACTGACCAACCAACTAACCGACCAACCTTATTAAACTTCCTCTGCAAATCTTTAGCAAGCCCTTCGTTCTCGCTGACCTTGACCTCCAAACTGCTGATGAGGGCATCCTTCGTTGAAATTTCAGATTTCAACCTCCCAACTTCGTTCCTCAACTCCAGTTCCATTTCCTGTAATAAGTGAGTAAATGAATAAGTGAGTGAATGAATGAATGAATGAATGAATGAATGAATAAATGAATGAGAAAGGACGAATGAAAGAGTGAGTGCAGAAATGACAGAGCGTATGACAGAATGAATAAATTAAGGAGAAAAGTAACCAGCAATACTCTTAACCAATGACAAACCTGCTTGCTGATGACGTCACTTTGCAACTGTGTGACCTTCAACTTGACTTCACTCGACCTCTCACTCGCCTGCCTCATCATATCTTCCATTTCCCGTTCTAACTTCTCCCTCTGTTCTTTCAATCTTGCGAAAAGGTGGAAGATGTGGTGATGATGACGATGATGATGGAAATTATGATGATGATGATGACGTTTATAATGACGATGACCACCGAAATGAAATGTACTAATGAAATAACTAGCATCAGCATCAGCAGCAACAACAACCAACTTATCAATCTGCCTCTCCTTCTCTTTAAGAACATCTTGTAGTCGAACCAGGGCACTGTCGGTCGAACTCCGATCAACTTTCACCGAGTCGAGTTGCAGCCGAGTCGAGTTTATAAGCATCTCTTTCTCCTTCGTGATCTCTTCTAATGAATCGATCTAATTATAATAATAATTAAAATTAAAATTGTCATCATAATAAAAACAATAATAACAATAATAAATTAATAATATTAAGACCATTTTTTATTATTTAATAAAATCCCCTTCTAAAAAATATTTTGACCTTTCGTAGTTGGGCGTTGAACTTGACCCCGAGGTCATCAAGTTTGTCCTTGAGATCAGACAGCTGATTGGTCAGCTGTGCCTTCTCTGATTGGACGGTGATCAGCTGTTTGCTCTTCGCGCTTATTAGCTCATCCTTCTCCTCCACCTTCCTTCTCAGCATCTCGACCTGCATGCGTTAGTGGATGGAGAGATGAACAGATGAATGAATGAATAGATGGACTGAAGAATGGATGAATGAACAGGTGAATGAACGAATGAATGAACGAAAGAATGAACGAATGAATGAACGAATGAATGAATGAACGAATGAATGATTGAATGAATGAATGAATGAATGAATGAATAAGTAAACAAACGAACGAACGAACGAACGAACGAATGGATGGATGGAACGTAAAAATTTAAAAGTTGATGACGAATAACTTCATATAGAGATTCAATTGGCAAGTTAAAAACCAATAACCTAAATTTTCCTCATCATCATCATCACCATCATCATCACCACCACCAACGTCTCCAGACAGCATCTTGCACTGTTGTTCCTTGGAAGTAACTTGCTCTCTTAGCATGTTCACATGTTTGTCGTGGTCTTCGAAATGTTTCTGAAGGATGTCTAGACGAGTCCTCAGACCACCCTGCTCTGTCTCGCTGCGTTTCAAGTCCTGTCTAGACGTTTCTAACTGTTTTGATTGGTTGGTTGGTTGGTTGTTGTTGATTTGGTGGCTGGTTTTTAATTTTTTTTTAGGTGCTGGTTGAATGATGAAGACGATTGTACGGCCACATGCTTAACGGGTTCATTCTCTCATCTGGTCATCTATCTTTTCACTCATGTATTCACTAATTTAACTCAATTATTCACCCACTCGCAGACAGACAGACAGACAGACCGAGACAAACAGACAGACAAACAGACTGAGACAGACAGACCGAGACAGACAGACCGAGACAAACAGACAGACAGACCGAGACAAACAGACAGACAGACCGAGACAGACAGACAGACAGACCGAGACAAACAGACAGACAGACCGATACAGACAGACAGACAAACAGACCGAGACAAACAGACAGACCTTTTCTTTCAGCAGTTTCTCTTGTGACCTCAGCTGCTGAATCATCAACTCGTTCCGACCTGCCTCTTCAAGCATCCTACCAATCTCACTCCCCTTCTGCTGCAACTCTCTCTGCAGCGTCTCCTATTATCACGTTCGGAGTGAGTGGGTGGGTCACGCACAGGTGGCCAAATGGTTAGAGGCGCCTGCCTGGGCCTGCTGTTGCGCAGTTACCGGGTTTGAATGCAAACGAAACCCCGCCTATCTAATGATGCAATGCGCGATGGGCAGACTCACGTGTGTGTGTGTGTGTGTGTGCGTGTGTGATGATTCTTTACGAATACGGAAGTAAGAAGTAAAGTGCTCGTCTTCTATATCGCAATGACCGGCTTCAAACGCGATGGAAATCTCTGCCTGTATAACATGTAACATGATTCGTTCACATTTGCTGGTAGCAATACGAAAAATACCATTACGCATGTTTGCAGTATTAGACGTATTTAATGTGTACCCAGGAAGTTCTGATTTATGCAGCGCTATAAAAATTGAAACTCTTCTCAGTTACAAATGAAAAAATTGTAGAGAAATTTTGTTATTATTTAGAATCTTTTGAAAGAAATCTATTGAGAACCTCTCTGCTGCTTGTGGAGCTGTCCTGACTCACGTTTGACGCTGATGATGGTGATGATGGTGACGATGATGAGGACGATGACGATGATGGTGATGATTATGGTGACGATGGTGGTGATGATGACGATGATGATGGTGGTGGTAGTGATGATGATGATTATGAAGATGATAGTGGTGGTGGTGAGGATAAAATGATAACACGTTAGCAAACTAACAAGTTTGTTGTTGTTGTTGTTGTTGTTGATGTTGTTGTTGTTGTTGTTGTTGATGTTGTTGTTGTTGTTGATGTTGTTGTTGTTGTTGATGTTGTTGTTGTTGCAACAGATCCATAAGCTTCTGTATAGTTGAGTCCCTGATGTGATCAAAGAGACTTTAAACATTTTTCAAGACAATTTTTAAAATAATATACAAATTAAAAACATCATCATCATCATCACCATCATCAACAACAGTATCATTATCATTATCAACATCATCAATGACATCATCATCATCAACAGCTGTATCATCATCATCACCGTCATTATCACCATCATCATAATCATCACCACCATCATTATCACCACCACCACCACCTCGTCGCCATCGTCTTCTGCTGCGTCTCAATTCTCATCTCCATTTCCTGCAAGGTCTTTCTTAGCAACTTACTCTCCCTCAAGTACTTATCTCTCTCCTTCCTCAACATCTCTAAGGGAGAGGACGTCGTCGACGGTGGCGGTGACGACGATAGCGACTGCTGCTGCTGTGGCTGTAGTTGGGAGGATGGTGCTGGAAGTCCCGTGAAGTCCCCCCCTAAGCCCACCCCCACCCCAGTTCCAGTGGATGACGATGATGTCGGCGGAATGGATGTTGAGGTCGCGGCAGCTGCTACTGAGGCTGCTGCTGCTGATGATGATGATTCTCTTAATTGTCGGTTCTCTTGCTCGAGTTTCATCAGGCTTGTTAGGTGTTGCTGATGACGTTGATGATGTTGGTGATGAGAGAGAAATTTAAAAGAAGTGGATAAGAAAGATAAAAAAGATAATAGCTTTTTAAAGAGTCAATCAATCAATCAATCAACCAATCAATCATTTATTTATTCATTCATCCAATAACTATTTCAATCAATCAATCAAAAAACCAAACAATCAACCAACTGGCAAACCAACCAATCAATCAACTGACCAACCAATCAACCAACCAACCAATCAACCAACCAACCAATCAACCAACTGACCAACCAATCACCAACCAACCAACTGACCAACCAATCAACCAACCAACCAATCAACCAACCAACCAATCAACCAACCAACTGACCAACCAACCAATCAACCAACCAACCAATCAACCAACCAACCAATCAACCAACTGACCAACCAACCAACCCTGTTCTCAATCTCGACAGCCTTCAACTGCTCATTGAGGGTGACGTATTTGAGGTTCTCCTCTTTCCGCATCGTCCTCTCCTTCTTTAACTCCGGACTCCAAAAGGACTTGATGCTGTTCATGGTCGAATTTAATTTATCCTTGGCCAGGTCCAGCTCCTGTTGCAAGATGGCACACTCTTTGTTCAAATCTGCGATCTGATTGGTTGCGATTGTTGATTGGTTTACTAGCTGATTGATTGATTGATTGATTGGTTGATTGGTTGGTTGGTTGATTGACTGACTGACTGATTGAATGATTGATCGATTGATTGATTGATTAATTGATTGATTGATTGATCGAACGGTTGACAAGTAAGAATGAATGATTTTGAAATTGAAAAAAGAGGCCTAACTAAACATTAACCTGTGCCTGTAGATCCAGAACAAATCCATCCCTACACGAAAGCGACGATTCATTATTTGGATAGAACGTCGTCGGGGAGGGGGTCTCAACGTCCCCATCCTCCCCCTCGTTGGCCCCTCTCAAGAAACTTCCCACGCCATCAAACGAATGAGTCCTCATCTGGTTTTCCCTCTCCAGAGACCTGGCCGCCCCGCCGGACCCTAAATTAGGGGGGCATGTATAATCCCTATCGGCCGATGCTCTGTCCCATCTACTGCCCATTACGTAATACTCCCTCTTCTTGTCTGAGTAGTTTGTCTGTCGATCCAATGATTGGTCTCTACTACTGGACCCCCCCGAAAGACCCCCTACCCCACCCATCCCCATCCGTTTTGTGTTGTAGTTGTAATCACCCGATCTATCAATTAGGAGACTAAGACTTTTTGTTTTTGTACCGACCGCCACGACATTATTCACGCCGGGTTTGCCAGCGACGTGAAATGGCGAGAGTGAAGCTACCGATCCCGTCCCACTGGCGCATATCGGGGGTCCGTACATGTAACCGGAATTAGTGAAAAACGATCGATTCATTGAAGATTTTGTTGTGGAGGTTGCTGCGGCTACTGTGGACGATGATGGCGGCGATGAAAATAAGTTGGAGCCGTTGTTTCGTCTCGTGGGGTTGGTCGAGACACTTCGAATGTTCCTTCTGCTGCCTCTTGTGCTGCTGCTGCTGTTTGTGAATGAATAATTTGAAGAGCTGTCAGTAGAGAGGTTGAGACTGATGAAGTAGTCTGGGTCTAACATTGAATGAACCGAATGGGGTCTCTGTATTTTGTGATTTGGCTTGTTGGGACTTCTTTCACGTCCCTCTTGTCTTGCGTCTCGTCCTACTTAAACTAAACTTACTAAGTTAGGTGAGTGTTTTGTTAGTAGTGCTGGTTCTAGTTAGATTGGTTAGCTAGTGGTTCATCTGAATTTTGGTTTCAAATAAAACAAATAATTTAAATGATACAAATTTTTTTATTTTTTAGACTTTTGTTTTAAGCTTAATTAGAGCATGATTTGATTTTGACACCAGTTTGTTTAGAAAACTGATGACCATGATATTCAGATAGATCCCAGAACTAAAATATTAAATTTATAATACTGAATGTAACAGTTTTTTAGATTTTAAACTTGATTACTGAATAAATATAAAAAGGAAATATGAATATTTCATATAAAATAACAATTTTCAATTAATAATTTTATTTATTTCTAATTTACTCAATTTTTATTTTAATTTAAAATTAATTAAATATTAAATTTTAAAATAAATAAACTCTAACAGTCTAACTTCTAACTAAACTAAAGAATTAAATAAATTTAATTAAATTTTTAATCGCTTCAATTTTTTAAAACGAAAAAGTTTAAAAACGATATAAATAAAATAAAAACTCGCCTGCTCGATTTCAAAAAAACTCATCCGTAACGAAAATTAGTAAAACAAATTAAAATTTTATAAAATGAAAATAATTAAAAAAATTTGTGTGCAAGGTGCACGTTTCAACTTAGTTAGATAGCTCAACAAATTTTTAAAAATAATTCAATAGGTACTTAAAAGGTTTTTACGCCAATTTCGTTTTGGCTTCGTACAGTTTTTGTGTGTTGCTAGCTAAGTGGCAAACAAAGTTTAAAATAAAATTTTTGTCATCTTAATCACAGAACTTAAACTTCTTTACTCAAAATACATAACAATATCCTTTTCTCCAGTGACAATAGTAATCTTCAATCAATCAATCAATCAATTAGCTTATAAAGCGCTATTTCCGCGATGTTCAACAGCGTTCCTCAATGAATTTTGAAAACAGATGGGTCTTGAGATCCGCTCTGAACTTCGCAAGTGATGGAGAAGTAGTCAGAGAAGTAGGTAGAGAGTTCCAGAGAAAAGGACCAGAAATCTTATTCTTCTCTGCCTTTGATACAGTTGATCATACTCTTCTCTTGAGACTGCTAGATGATTCTTTTAATATTACTGATTCTTGTCTATCTTGGTTTTCTTCTTATCTCTGTAATCGTTTTTCTTCTGTTGTTTTCAATAATTCTTCTTCTAACTCCTCTACTCTTACATTCGGGCTACCTCAATATATACTCTATACTTCTGAACTACCTCGTATTATTTTTTTTCACTTGTCAACCATACGCTGATGATTTTTATATTTATACTTCTTTTCCTCCTTCTAATCTCAATAATGTTCTTCATAATTTATCTCTATGTTTTTCTTCAAATATCGCTTGGTCTATGACTCTATATGTCTTAAACTTAATCCTTCTAAATTTGAATTAATTTGTTTTAATAAATCTAAATACTCTATTACTATTCCTCCTATTATCTTACCTGAATCTAAAACTCTCGATATTTCTCACAAGTTTCGTAGCCTAGGCTTTATCTTTGATTCTACTATGTCTCTTTCTTTTCAGATTAATAGTGCTTCTAAAATTTCTTACTTTCATCTACGTAGAATGAAAAAACTTTTGCCGATTCTGGACGATCCTACGAGATACAGTTGTAACTAGTTTAGATCAAGGAGAGGCCTCTTTACCAATATGCAGCACTTTCTTATGGGTTGAAGCAGGGATATGCAAAGAATCTCAATTTTTTCAACTCTTAATTATTTTCGGTAATGTCGATTTTATTTTTTAAATTTATACCAAATAAAAGTAATTAATTACCACATTAAATAACAATTTTTAAAATATTAAAATTTTAACATTCTGAATAAAAGCAATATTCCGTAATTAGTAAATATACTATCGTAACTTATGACTCGAACGATAAAAGAAATCACCCTCCAACTCCCCTCCGAAAGTCAGCTCCTTGTTCGACCGTTAAAAATGAGCGAAGGCCGTAGCATTTATTCTATTTTTGTGTATCAAACAGTATCTCATTGAACAAAGTAGTATCATAAAATGAATAAAGATACTTTCTGAATAAAAGCAATATTCCGTAATTAGTAAATATACTATCGTAACTTATGACTCGAACGATAAAAGAAATCACCCTCCAACTCCCCTCCGAAAGTCAGCTCCTTGTTCGACCGTTAAAAGTGAGCGAAGGCCGTAGCATTTATTCTATTTTTGTGTATCAAACAGTATCTCATTGAACAAAGTAGTATCATAAAATGAATAAAGATACTTTCTGAATAAAAGCAATATTCCGTAATTAGTAAATATACTATCGTAACTTATGACTCGAACGATAAAAGAAATCACCCTCCAACTCCCCTCCGAAAGTCAGCTCCTTGTTCGACCGTTAAAAGTGAGCGAAGGCCGTAGCATTTATTCTATTTTTGTGTATCAAACAGTATCTCATTGAACAAAGTAGTATCATAAAATGAATAAAGATACTTTTTTCAAAAAAATTTTAAAAATTCAAAATTTGACTTCATTGCGATATCGATGATGATGATGATTGTGACCTGACTAATTAAAAAACATCAAATAAAATTTATTTAAATAGAATGGGAAATTCGTTGCGAAATCGTTGGTGGAAATGACGTCATGTTAGCAGTAGTTATTTTACTGCATGGTAGTTAATCAGCCGGTATAAAGGTTATATTCAATTCCTATCAAATAAATTTGACCAAATATCATACGCAGGCAGAACTAAATAAAGAAATAGATATAAATAAATAAATAAATAAATAAATATATATATATTTATATATATATATATATATATATATATATATATATATATATATATATATATACGTAGTTATAATACATTTATAATGTTGTATTTACACATTCAAATTGTACAGTTGTGTTATGGTAATTATTTTGAATTCACTCAGAAAAATTTAAACTTTTTACTATATACTAGTTACTTTTAATAACAATTTTTAAAAAAATTTCAATTTGATTTCATCGCGATATCGATGATAATGATTGTGACCTGACTGATTAAAAAGCATCAAAAAAATGTTGAAAATAGGATGGAGAATTTGTTATATTGGGATATTCATATATAAAGCGAGCCAAATTTTAATATAAAAGCGCTTATAAATATACGCCTAAGGCTTAGCTTGGCTTGGCTCGGCTTAAAATTGGATGGTAAGCAAGGTGAGGTCTCAAACTATTTGGAATTCTCCCCAAAAATTTGAACTGCGGGCGTACATATATAGCACTGATTACATATATATATATATATATATATATATATATATATATATAAATGTCGTTAAAAATATATATATATATATATTATATATATATAATATATATAAAGGACTAGAATCCATGTATACAAATAATAATAAGACTTAAAAATAAAACTTGTGTATACTATATTCTATTCTAATTTAATTTAGAATAAAATATTTTTTAAACTTGCTCGCGTTATTTCTTTGATTTCGATATTGGGGATATTCGTATATAAAGCGAGCCAAATTTTAATATAAAAGCGCTTATAAATTTACGCATTTGGCTCAGCTTGGCTCGGCTCGGCTTGAAATTGGATGTTAAGCAAGGTGTGGTATCAAACTATTTTGAATTCTCCCCAAAAACTTTGAACTGCCTGCAAACATATGCAGCACTGATTACTGTTGTTTTTAAATAAATTCATATAACTAGAATCCATGTATACAAATAATAATAAGATTATGTATATGTTTGTATAAAAAGCAATATAGCAGATTCAACCAGCCAATCAGAAAGTTTCGAAGGCGTTCGTTGGATGACGTCAATTTAGTACGGTTAGCATTGTTGTTAGGACTGTATAATAGTGTAATACATACATTAAATAAGTTGTTTACTGATGTGAATGATTGAAATGATGAGAATGTATGGTTGAAACGAGTATAAAAAGGAGCTGAAAAAGCATGAAAATCAGATCAGGCATTCTGCCTCGCTTGAGGCTTGAAGCGGTCTGCCTGATCTCATTTATTTTAATTTTTTATTTATTTATTTTATTATATAGAGTTATATAGAGTCGCGCGGCTATATATGTTTGCCTGTGGTTTGTATGTTTGTATTATGTTTTTTTTAATATTTTAGGTGGGTTCTTTAGCGGTTGCTCATGCATACATGCATACATACATACAACATGTTTGTTTGTGTGGTAGTATTTTATGTTCTGTTTTACTCCTTTTTCTCTTTCTTCATCAGTCTTGAGTTAAGTTAATGAAACGTAGGTAGGTGAGATTAAAAATTAATTTATTATATAGGTAGGCTAGGGCATAAGATAATTTAGTTACATAGGTAGGTTAAGGACTTCTATTCTTTTACTCTACTTGGTGGTGTGTTTTTTGTTTTGTGTTTTTTTTTTGTTTTGTTTCACACGATACACTCTACAGGTACGCGGTGGTTCCTGGTTTTAGTGGGATTTTTATTGATTGAATGTGGTAGTATGCATGGTTATATAGAGTTATATAGAGTTATATAGAGTTATATAGAGTTATATAGAGTTATATAGAGTTATATAGAGTTATATAGAGTTATATAGAGTTATATAGAGTTATATAGAGTTATATAGAGTTATATAGAGTTATATAGAGTTATATAGAGTTATATAGAGTTATATAGAGTTATATAGAGTTATATAGAGTTATAT